CAGTCTGTCAGGAATGTCCTGGTGCCACTAAATGAATTATTCCTTCCTATATCAATATTCAATCAATCACGATATATGTCATTGAGCAGTGAGTCCTTTAATTTTATGAACAATACTGAATACCCATATGAAACATGTTATTGAAATAATAGAAGTTTACACAATTCTAACCACTAACACCACTTTTGCAATGACAGAGTTAATTAGATGAACGTAAAATGCGAATTGTAATTCTGAAGAAAAGTGTTCATTTAACACTGAGTTAAAATGTATATCTATCTAAGAAGGCATGAAGGCCAACATACATTCATCTTTTGTCAAATAATAATATCTATTATCAAGTGAAAAGAAAGTTAAAGGAGAGAATAAACTGAAACTAAACTAAATAGTAGCTTCCTAACAATAGGCGCGCTAGTGATTTTCCAAATATCGCGTATTTTACCCTTCGGTTAGTCTTTACATTAGGTAATGTTGAATTCCAACCGTTCAATTCAAGAAATAAGCTAATCGACTTCATTAAAGACGACGTCAACAAACTCTCCATGGAGAGACGTTACTTACTAACACCACAAGACGACTAAATAACAAAATTGTTAATTATTTAGCGGGCAAGAGATGCACAAAATGAAACAAGCCACCTGACCAACATCACCTTAACTTTCAGTTAAAATACGATACTAAAATCTTCTCAGGAATAGTTGACTACAAGATAAAATCTGTCAACAATATGCGGAAAGTATTCATTACTGCCTTAAAGCAATAGTCTGTTTTCAACAGAGATACCTTCTTACTCGGCAGGAATAGTATATTTCCGGCCTAAGAATAAAATTGCGACCCCAAACCATCTAGCGAATACCATTCACAGCATTTCACAGAAACTTAATAGTCTTAAAAGTCTATGACAGAGAAAAAGTCAAGATAATAGCACACCGTTCAATTATTTGCACTAATGCTCGAATTCCTAGGTGTAGTGCCTATATGAATACTCTTGCTATGACGTCTAAATTATTTATATCAGGAATTTTATGTTGTTGAGAGCACTGTCTCCAAAGAGTGTTTCATTGTCTTTTTGATCATGAAAAACTTGAAAGAAAACCGAGGCTTCCCGTTATTTTCTTACACATATTTGCACATTTGACCTTAATCAGATTTTCTTTCCCTCTAGTCCTTTAAGTATGTCGAGTTACAATAAAATTTATTTTGTATTTCCACACAGAACATGTCCTACCTCGGAAATAGGGTGAACTCACCAAGTTCAGAAAACAGATATGCAACTATTTTCGCATGTTTGTATCAACTCCAGAGACACTTTACCTATCAAACTTCCTTGTAAGTAATTACAACAACAATTAGAATCCTAGTCAAGTTCACCACCGCATCTTCATAAAAACCTTCAATATTAGGCTTATTCAAGAAATAATAGACTAAAACTATAATGCAGCACCAATAACGCCACTCGGTGGACAATATCCAAGATCACAGGGCTTAACTTCGACAATTGATGCATCTGATAATTGTCCTTATTCAGCTTTATTTTAACCTAGGAATCATAGCCAATTGGGGCCAAAACTGTCTTTTTCATCTTGCATTATTTCTACGTATTAATTACCACCAACAGTTACTACTCACCGCGCACCAGCAATTCATTTTAGTCCGTACACAAAAACTCTACAGGGAATGCTACTTCTTATATACAGACTCATCGTTCATCTTCAGACACCTTCAAATTTGCACCTCTCCATCAAACAACTAACTTAGCACCACCAAACACGTAATATGTACACCCTGGAGTACTCCACTAATGCGATGTTAAAAATATACTCTAGTAAGCAAATGTTCCATAGTTTGTACTGCCTAAATGAGTGTGATTTTCATTGTACAAAGATACCTTCGAGAAACATTAACACTCAGCACCAGATGAGTGTAGAAAGCTATTCATCATTCACGACCAATAAAAAGTTCCAAATATTTACACAAGACCAACCATCATAATGACTACTTTATAATACTGTGGTGTCTGTGCTACATATTCGTGAGTATACAGAAGCAGAATGCTGAGTAATGTCCTTGCACAATTATAGTGTCCGTCGATAGGAAATGAGATAATGCTATAACCCTGAGAAGAATCCAATCGGAAATAAACAGAGATGATATGACCGTCATTTGCAAACTGTGCGATCAATACAGGGTTCATGACTTTCTCAATATAGACTATTCTTTGTCATAGTGAGCAGTACTAGCCTCATTCACCTCACCTGGGTTCTCTAACCCTATCAGAAATGAAGGTGCCGTTGTTCAAACAAAGAGATTTGAGAATGCTCATAAAAGACCTCACAGCTACCGTGGATCTGGTCGGTGAGCAGGAACAGAGGGCAAAATTGGTGATCTTGAGGACCCATGAGGTCGATGTTAAGCTTGCGTAAAGACTTTATTCTACTTTTAATTAGTAAACACCGCAACATGGACTAATGGTTTCTACCTTCAAAAATACATTTTTAGTCGACTTCCAGTAACATTTCGACAAACTGCTACTACTACTTGACCTATGACATTCGACTAGGAAATTTCACACATGAAATGAATACAAATGTGTGACTGACAGTAAGAAAATGAATTCACCAATATTCCTACAAATAAATGTCACTGAGTTAGTGTAACAGTAAATGAGAATTATTTCTTGGGAACAAATGTGTTGCGTTTCGAATACAGCAGTACGCTAGTCAAATGCAAGATGATGAGGCTGCAGGAATGAACCACACCGACTACTAACCTTAAGATTGGAAGTGAAATGGTTGAGCGTGTTAACCACTTAACTTATCGGCAAATTTGCACCGGCCATCACGGACTGATTGCTGACGAAATACCAGTACGGATATAAAAGGTTCGTATGGCATTTAACAGCGTACGTAATCTCTGGTGTAGACAGTATATCCGGCTATACATCAACGGACGTGTTCGCCATGTTCTACTTCATGGCTGAGACATGATCATTAGAGGCGGAAGATATGGAAGGACTAGGTACGCGTTTATGTTTTATCTCGCGTGGTATTATATGCTGAGCAACATTTGGGTTTGGCGAAGTGTTAGGCAGGGAAGGGAATCTAATCGATGAATTTGTGAAACCGCACCCATTGAGATGTCCAGGACGCGTACCGAACCAACGACCTTCCTGACGAGCAATGTCACCTGACATTTGATTGGACTGGGAGTCATGGGTGATTAGACCAAAACCTGATATCAATCCAAGAAGTCTTCGACAACTGTTTTAAGCTAAGTATGCAGGTGTATACTGCGTAAATGAGGCCCCCCAGGTGCTGAGAACCAGTGGCTGGAGACAATTGGTCATATGCCTTGAAACCGTTCTTGGTGGAGCATACGCTTCCACTTTTCGTGACCCTCACTTTCACTAAACCTCATGGTTTTTTCATGTTATTAATCTCTCCCATACATTTCTATCCAACGTGGTTCTTTTGAATTTATTTCTCCCCCCTTTTCTCTTTCTTTCTGTGCTGTGGTACTGTGACTTGAACTGCTGCACTTCCGAGCAAAGTTCTATGTTGAAACTTAATCGTTTTTTGTTTTTTTCCTTCACGTTCCCCAGTGGAACATAGGGCTTCAAGCTAGTGGCTTGAAGTTTCTGTAGCAGTGTTTATTTTACAGGATGGGGTTGCTAACCTCATGCCCAACCTTTCCTCTTCACCAGCATTATTTCTGGCTTAGCGAGGTAAAGGAGTGCGTCAATGGCCGGGGATCGAACCGCGGACTATGTTCATGGTCGGCGAGCGTCCTAACCGCTATGCCACCGACGCACTGCTGCACTTCCGAGCAAGGTTCTACGTTGGAACTTAATCAATCAGCCAGAACACTACGCCCACATTCTTCGGTATACAAGAGCTAGTTCCAGGTGAGTGAATCCCTACAACAGTTCCGCACGCTGAATACACAACACAAATCACTTGTGTAAATAAGCCGATAAAATAACGGAAAGTCGTGGACCACCGTCGTAATGTCATGTTTTATTAACCCCAAGATATACAGTAAACCACCAGTGACGAGTAAGTATGGTAACTGTGTTCCACTTTAGAACCACAACAGTCACACTTCTTCAACACGGATAAATATAAACTCATTTAATGGTTCTCACGGAGACTGTAGCTCTCGTTAAACACATGATCAATTAGTGCCTCAGTATAAACTGTTATAACGATGCTATTCAGTCTCACATAAATAATAAATGTGAATAACACGGAACACCGCCTTGTATGCAGCCTTCCCATACTAAGACGATCCTTTTCCCACCTTAAAACAGCAATTGTCTATAATGAAACTGAAACCTACTGTTTGATTGCTGGATGCCTTAGTCATTGTAAAATAACACCGATTGAAAACTCACCACCACCGACCTGTTTATATCATATGTCTACTTTGACAACGGATGTTCACAATGACATGGAATCTTAGACGACAATCTCCTACCAGAGATATATAATTGGTCGTACATAAATACAAAGACACTGCTACGTCTTACAAGCTACTAGATGAGGATGAATCTTATAAATCGTAAAAACATTTAGAAGTCGACATCGCACTTTCCTAAGCCTGCAAACTATTTCGATGACGGAATGACTGGAATGTGAACTATTGAGCGTACTTTCGTAGAATCACAGGTCATTCCACAAGAGAGGAATACAATCTCCTGAGTTACTTAAAAAGTCGTATGACAAATGTTTCCGGAATGCCTTTAATTACTTTAACACATGAATTATTGCATGTTTGATTACTGGACACAAAGCAAGAAGAAGACTTGAAGCACTTATTCAAGGCATCTATATATACATATATACATAAATATATATTAAGTCAAATACTAGTTTCCAAAAATAGTCCCATAAAAAAATAAACAAATTACACAGTGGAATAAAACTAAAAATGCAAAACTGACTGATTTACATAAAGTCAACAAGTTGTCCTACAAAATAAAATTAAAATTTGTATCTTACCTGCTAGTTTCGATGGTCAAAACGCAAGACCAACGGTCGTCCAGCTATGCGATATCCATTCAGTCCCCTGAGAGCTCTGTCTGCTTCATAACTTGTTTTGAAATCCACCAGTGCCTCACCAGTAGGTTGTCCCTGAGGATTACGGCGTAGTCGTATAGAACCGGGGATGAAGTAATAATCCCTCATAACTCCAGCTAGTTGATCAACGGTAAATCCAGGCGGCAGATTCCCAACGAAAACAGAGACGAAATCAGGAATAGGCCGACGGTGTGGAGCAGGCAATGGTGGTCTGGGAGCAGGCACAGGATCCGATTGTGGTGGTGGAATAGAATGCAAGTTATCCATTGGAGGACGGAATCTCCGGAATTGGTCGCGATGTTCTTCGAAAGGAGCAGGTGGTCCGGGACGATCATAGCCAGGATCATCATACTTCCCTCTACCTGAACTTGGCGGGCGGTTTTCAAATGAATTGGGATGTTGCGGACGGTTTTCAAATGAATTGGGATGTGGCGGACGCTGACGTGGGTCCCACTGGGGGCGGGGTTCCCGAGGGTCCCTGTCACGCGGTCTTACAGGCTTGTCAAAATTGGATTGTTCATCACCCTTGGTATCGAGACCAAGACGGTTCAGCATCTCACTCCTAGAAATAGCTTCTATGTGAATAGTTGGATGTGTTTGCTTGGCCTTAGAGCCTTCTGTTGATGCCTCATTAACCGCGCGACGGCAGTTATTTTCACTAATGAAATCAATAAAAGCTGTGGTACCATCTGGAGCCATTTTTACTGCATCTCCCGGAATCAAAATGGAAGGGAACAAATTTAGAACTTCAGAATCTTTTACTGGGCGAGAAAATCCGCTGACACACGCGCATGTTAAAAATACTCCTGTCGCCTTGGCTGGTTCTGTATCAGTGTCACGTGAGACAGTCGACTTTGCCAGTTCCTGCGTGTCTTCAGACTTTCCGCTCACAGAAAAGCTGGAATAAGCAGAAACTTGCAGTTTGGATATTGCTATTAGGCGAGCTGATGGAAGTTCGGAATCCGGTCGGAATGGTCGCGACTTGGCGGAAAGTAGAATTTTTAAATCTGCTGCAGACGGTAGAGTAACAAGAGCTCTAGTCATGTTTCCACTTCGTGGGGCAGACCTGTCATTTGGGGAAAATCGAGCAAGGACAACATTTTCACAAGTTAAACCGGGAGCACCTACGAACCGCACAACTTCCATTTTCGTGGTATCAGAAGGGAGTTCAGATAGCTCAAGGCATCCATCATTATAATGAGGTGGACAGAACTGGTCAGCAGGTGGAAGCTTTTTAGTAACCTCGGGGGGACACTTAGAAGCAAAACCTGTATCGCTAACATTGTAGAATTCTTCGAGAGATGAACTTAATACTCTGATGATGTCTCCCTTATAAGGACGATTATCGAAACTGAGCGCACGGTCATACGAATCTCTATTTGCCATCATGATAAACACATATCCAGTAGGACGTTGCAGTAAGTCTTCTTCTACTCTGATACCCCACTTAGGTACAACTTGCACCCCACGCAATATTTCGAAGACACCTTTGATCCCAGCTTCTGGCACTGGTAGACAGACACGAAGTACATACTCAGTTTCTCCAGGTATCAAATCAGATGGACGACCGTACGACGGAGGAGGAGGTCGACGTTTCCGTGGATACTCTTCATAATCTGGAACTGGCTGTTGGAATGGACGCTTAGGTCCCACACCAGGAGCATCAGCACCAAGCCACGGAGGTCTAACCGAGAAATCACGATCCTCCAGCAACCTGTTATTTGGAGGATAGGCAGCTTCCCGGTCAAGTGGATGGACCGGACCACTTCTATTTTCCGGGGGATAATTACTATTACCACGATTTACTTCCCGTGGTGGGACATCATGTGGTACGAATCGATCATTATTTGATCTAGGAGGTGGCGTGGGATACTTGCCATAATCCGGAGCTCTGTCGTCCATAACGTGGCGCGGAGGGTACTGGTCTGGGTATGGATCTCTTGGACTGTTTCTAAAGCCAGTGTCCTTATTCCTAGGAGTGAAGTCTTCAGGGATGGGGGGTGGTGGGCGCCGACTGTAATCATAGTCTTCGTGATATCTGTATGGTGGGTCACCCCTATCATTCACATAAGCATCCCTCGGACCATAGTCGCGGGTTGGTGGGAAATCTCGGCTGTCATATCTAGAGGGTATATCCGGCGGATTATTGTAACCATAATTCCGATCTCTATCCGAATGAATCCGATCTGGCGGTATATGTTCTGGATACTCCTCCGGTTTATTGCGTGCTACCATATCGATCTGTGCACGAGGCGGGGTATCAACGGGAGGAGCACTCGCTTTGTTGTAGGGATAAGCAAACTGGTTCAATGACTCATCGAACGATTCACGAGCGGCTCCGTTGCGATATGATGGGAATGAACTAGGCAAAGTAGGAGCTGTTACGTCTAGTGCATGCATAGCTTCAGACTTTTGAGGAACAGCTTGAGAAAGGGCTGTATTCCCTCCACCTGAAAACATAGCTGATGTTCTGGCGGATTCGATGATCGTTTGCATTTCAGTTTTGCTGCTTAGAAACAAACGAACGGCGGCCCCATTAATCGACTGTCGATCAAGTAACATGGCTTTCCTTGCATCCTCGTCTGTAGCAAAAGCAATGAAGGCGTCCCCTTCAGTGCCTCCAACTATGTGCACTCCTCCCTCTGGAATAGATAATCCACTGAAGAAACGGCGAATGTTCGACGCGTTTGCCGAGATTGGCAGATTTTGAAGTCGAATGATGACGGACATCTTTTACTCTGTAAAGGGAAAATAACTGTGTTGTTACATTGTAAAAAATAAACCTTTACTGAGAAATTAACTCTTTAAGCACCATGAATATACATTTGAATTAACAATAAACCAACCGGATAATACAACCATCTACTACTTTTCACAGTCCAAACGTGAATCCAGAACATAACTTCACATTTAAAATTATAAGCTAATGCTGTGCTCACTATAGAGACGAAGCCGTCTCCAGGACTCACAGAAACACTGAACTCCACCTACTTCATAGTGAGTCGCAACTACGTGGTATTTGTTATTACTGACAAACCGTTTGAAACTCTATTGATGAAACAAGGTCTGGAAACGTAATTCACTGACCTAAAGCCAATTTTTAACTAATCACCACAGCAGCAAAACAAAATAGATGGTCACAAAATTTTTAAATCACCACTTAGTGCCTTAAGTCGAATATTTAGTCTCATACAATTTATCCCAAATATAAGCACCACAATAATGTGATAGGAATGCATCAGCTACAAAAATAGTTTAGACTGAAAAACAGAACACCTATTTACCCACTGAGAGCAATCTATGAAGCACAAAGATGACTACTTAATTTTATATGAGCTATTCCGAATTAGTGATCACGAAGATAACATAAATTTCTAGCGCACACCAATGTAAAGTGACTTTTTTAGACAGAGAAATGGGAAACGACACTTAAGTTGAAACAGACCACGCAGTCACACTTTCAAGTGTGCAATATATATTTCCTCTATATCCAGTTATGAAAACGGAACTAAGACCTGAACTGATGGCATCAGAAAACCAGCCAAGTTAGACGTTGAGCACTAGTTAGTATCGGTAGAATGCAACCGCGTCAATGATCCAGAAACTCAGTGACCAAGTTAGTGAAACCTGGTAAATAATATCGTAATTTTTTTTCCTTCACGTTCCTATGCCACCGACGCAGTTCAAAATGGGGAAAATTAACTTTTTTAAAATAGTTTAGGTAATTTAAATAAGTGTAACCAGACAACTTGTACTTAATAATGCTGATCTATAATGTCATTTATCAAAACTGAAGAAGCCAGCAGTAAACGTATCAGACTTAGAAATGGTTGTAAGTTAGAGGAAGAAGAAACGTAAGTAACAAAAGGAAAACGAAAGAATCAAAAAAGCAGTGTAGAAAAATGTCGCTGCTAGACAACAAGCCAATATTGCTGAATAAATTCGTGCTGGACAGTTAAAGGAGTAATTTCTAACAAAAAGTAAGCCCAAACTTGAATAAATGGCAATCGTAAGAATAATCCTTAGAAACGAAAAGGAAGGAAATATATGCAAAATAAAGGTAGCCAGTGTAGGTCAATATTCAGGGAATTTCGGTTTTAGCAAAAATCGATTTTTCACCACAGCAGGTTGATCAGAGACGCTCCTTGTCAACGTGTTTGGTTTAGAACTTTGTTCATCCTTAATTGTTGATGCACCAGCGAGTAAAGCTGATAAGTACGGACGATGAGAAGTTTTTGGAGTTATCAGCATAAATGATTCTGCATCACCGGGAAACAGATACTGAACGGGCTGAACACGACCCAGAAATCGAATCAAGGACTGTTGAACTTCACGACGCTGTTCAGCTACACGACGGCGTAATGAAGCTGGATCGGAAGCTATTGGTGCACGCCTAACTCGTGTGGTTACAAAGGTGTGTGGTTCAGGTATTGACGGAAGCTGTAGGTGTGCAGGAGCTGGAGGTGGTAAAGAAGATGACAGTTGGTCTGAAGCACCTGAATTAGAAGTACATGTAGATCCCATTGCACCAAGACGAGGATTGCCCGACCAATTAAGACGTAAAGACAACGGTCGAGGAATAATTGTCGTCCCACCTGGACCCAATACTGCAGAGCATGAAACACCTTTCTTTTGTGAACCGCCAATGGCAACAGGTTCTTTACATCCTCTGTACATGCGTTTACGGGGGATTTCATTTAGGCCTGAAACATCAAACCCCAAATCTATTAATCCAAGTACGATATCGCTCAAAAGGATTGACATTCTTCCAGTGCTTTCAGCATTCATAAGTGAAGAAACAGCTAAGTCTTCAGTAAATGAGAAGAAAAGATTTGAAAGCACTCTCAGTGCAGCATATTCAATGGCTGTATATCCAACCGACAAAGCAAGGTAGCCAATAGCGCCTTCAACAACATCCAGGACACCTTGTGGACATTCTCCACCAGTCAACAGACGGCTAGACATCCCTCAACAGCATTGCAGAGATTCTTTGTGGCTAAACACAACGGTAGCACACAATACGGTGAATTAAATAATATCGTAATAACGAATAAAATATGCTTAAAGTGTTACGTACTCAAGTAGGATATCTGGCAAGTTTCATGTTAGGTTTAGGAACGACTACGTAAAGGTTTAGCCTAAGAACAGGTTAGGTTAACCTAATGAGGGTAACATTTGGATTGGTTAGAGTTATATTAAGGTTAGTCTAAGGATATTTTCAAGTTAGGGTTGGGTTAACGAGATATTAGGGTTATTGTTAGGGGTTAGGAGACCCAGATAATTCCATGCATAGGGTGTGGTTAACCCACTCTGTTAATACTCCGATCAAAACCTGGTAGCTATTTTTGTCTTATGTCAGAGAAAGATATCTTGTGTAAGTTTCACGCTTTTTACCTCATTATTTTCAAGAATACATGTATTTTATATGCGAAAATCGCATTTATCACGTGGTTACTGTGCTCAAGGTTATTTTGTTGGCATTTACTGGTGCCTCAAGTTTAACTTTGCCAGGAAACCATTTGAAACACTTCGAGAATGAAACTAAACTTTAGCAGCCACCTAAATCCCCAAGAACCGTGACTTCATCAGAAGTAAAGAGCTTTGAGTCACAAAATTGTTAGGAAGATAACTATGGATCATGCCATTCTGCTATAACCATAGACCATGGTGTCCTGAGTTCCATTCATGTTAATACTACTTTTAAATCCACCCCGAAACCCCAATCCTCTAAAATGAATAGCTATCTTGACAAGCTTTCCTCATATAAACAGGCTTTTCTAGGTCCAATAAACCCACTATTCATACAGCAGTCAAACACAATTGTCCAGGAACCCGTTAAACAAATCCAGAGCACGGAATCTGATATGATTATAGTATCAGTAACCAGTTGGTTGTTGGAAGATGTGCCGGAATGGCTGCTGTCTTAACTTCTCTACTGTGAGCTACTCTAATAGTAACACAAAATACCGCTAAAATCACCAGCGATCTGCATCGAACACTGGACTTAACTTCACGAAGTACGCGCAAGTTTAGAGTCGGTATATGATACCAAACAACATTACAGATTGGTGAGGTGCATCTTAACAACTACCACTAGGTAAATTAGAATAGATCAAAGAGGCTATTGTGGTTCAAGCCCCTTATGTCACCACCTGCCTCAACAAGCAAGAAAGTCCAGAGTACAGCCAAGTAACAAACCTTATCTTTAAAATATAGCCTTGACATGTGAAACCAAACTACCCGGAATTACGTGTAACACAACTGCCAGTAAAGCCTCCCACTTGCCACTGAGTAAGCTGTTATGCAGAAATTGGGAAAATTGCTTATTTCATATATGTACAGCAGCCAGCACTGTTAAAATGAACGGATCAAGCAGGGTACCTGGTTTTCAGCATAGCTTCAGGATGAATCGATCACATGCTACGTATGAAACTTTACCTATTGTTATACAAAGCTTCACAGTTTTGACATCCAAATTACTGCGTACTCTTACAACACCTATCCTACAAAACTAAATATTCAAAGCCACGCATCGCTGAGTTTACAAGGCAGTCTTATAAAAACGATTTTCCAATGAACGGTTACAAACTAACTGCTTTAGACGAATCACTTTCAACTCAAAATGAAACCTTCCTAAATATTAGTTCTAATTGTAAATGATATGACAGGATAAACATTGAAAAAACTTACCACTCTTATTGCCTACGTCTTGAGGCCGAATCAAGATGGATGACACCGAGTGCATGAAAACAACTGACTCAGAAGTGTTCAATATTCTTGATACTTTCTTCCTCCTTTATGAACTCATTGTCTATGTTTTCACACGTTTTGTACTCTTTTTGTGTTTTACTGTTCACAGCAGCAAGGCGAATGGCTTGTAATAATGTTCAATGTCCTTCTCATAAATTAGTCAGAATCATTTGATTTCTAGATTAAAAGCGACTGTCAGAAACTTCTGAATTACAATAAGCTGAGTCTAACCACTCGCCCCTGATAAATCTGAAAGATCCAGTGGAGGGTTATATTTCGCCAAATTGACGGAGTCGCCATGGGAAGCCCCCTGGGTCCGATTCTGGCAGATATTTTTATGGGTAGTCTAAGGCGAAGATTTCACATCCCTTAAACTGAAGTACGTATTTGCTGACGTTAATCCTACTGGGGCGGACGAGTTTTATATTTCTCTGAAGCAATCTAGAGCACAAGTGAAATTGCTGACAGACAGGAAATGAAAACAAACGGCGATGCATAGTGAGTCTGGAGCACTGGCTGTCTTCAAGCTCCCCTCACGTCACCAGGGCTCCTCTCAGTAAAATAAGCCTCCCAGTAGCAAGTGATTGAGGTGTTCTATTGGTCGTAGAAGGTTAAAGATGGGATTAATGAGGAGTCATGATACTTACTAGGCGCTCCTCAAGCTTTATGGAAGCAACATACCGGAGTCACTATGCTTCTTCTTGCTTCAGTTGTGCTGTAGAAATGTTACGCCGAAAAGGGAGAGAATTATGGTGATCCCAGTGTATCTATAAAACACGGCAGAAAGTAGCAACAAACCAGTTCCTATGGAGTCGGGCAATTATTTCGACATTATCTTCCCAATGGCTACCCGATCACTAAGCGAGGCGGTGGGATTCACCATGAAGTACCCATATAGCAACGCGAGGTAGCTAGGAATAAAGTGTCAGGACTCCAGGACCTGAATTCGTAAGATTTTAAGATAACAGTAACAGGAAAATGGCTGACCCTTACTCCTTCCAACTCCAAAGTAGGCATAAACAATACTATCCGGTGTAGGCAGGACATGGGAGGTGGAGATGCCATAGATCTCAGCAAGCAGCTGTGATGTATGTGAGAAACGAGGCCACCTTTAAGTAAACACCCAGAGTCAATGAATTACTGTCTTACCGTCTACCACACCAAGGATTAGTGGGTGGTAACTGTACACTTCTCGTTTACGGAACAGAATGATGTCAGCAACATGTCTGCACTATCGCGAAGATGCGAAACCTAGGTTACGGCCAAATCTTAACATTTGGAGACTTTAATGCCTCTTCCATTACCCTATAATAGGAGACAACTAAGGAGACTCTCGATCGGAATTTTCTGCAAACTATCAAGAAGGCCGTGTTGACTGAAAATACTGGATATAATTCTAGCGGAAAGTCATCATTCTGACAATTATTCATTCACCATCAGTAAAGCTCCTAATTTTAATCCCTTTTAGTGGCGACTACGCCTTCGTAGTCTTCGATGTAGCACATTGTGAGTACATAGAGTTCTGTGCAGAATTCAATAACGTATGCTCTTCTTGGCATAATTCAGCCTCTAGAATCTCAAAATGTCATATTCTGGAAGTCCTACTGCCCTTAGTATTCACCTATGACCTGCCACGCCATCTGTACTACTCAACTATCCTGTATGCCGATGTAAAAGATCGAACAGCCATAAAAGGTTTGGAAGACTTAGACATACTGTTGGTAGAGACTGTGAAAGACTACACACGGGTGAACTAAATGTATGTCGATCTACAAAATGCAAAGCGGTCCAATCGTGAACTCCCAAACCTCTATGTGGGTAGGAGATGTCCCTTGCAGCATCACAGAGTGCCTCGGGTCTCGTTCTAAACGAAAACCTGAGTGAAAATGCGAATTATTCACTTGACATGAACCACGCATGTTGTTATAATCTTCAAGCGTAGTTAGCTGTCTGCGCTCATGAGAGGGCTTTTCCAAAGCTTTACGAAACCTGTGTGTGACTCGTCGTGAGGTTTCTATCTCTCCTCCGTTTCTCGAAAGAAATGCACCTTCATAAACGTTACAAATAAGACACAACGGGGGAGACAAGCCTGTCGAACAAAACTCATTAAGAAAGGTTGCTGAAAATAGCTTTCTCCACTCTCTACTACTACCAGCTTGAGAGTGCACTCACCACAGCCTACAGAATTACCAATGACCTAAGTCACCTAAATAAAGAGATCTGGTTATCAAGGCACTACGAACTTCCCCATGGCAGCCCACGTTAGATCTCCCGTGAGATGAAAATTTCAAGTGCTCCCCATCTTGCCCGGTACGTTCGAACCAGGTAACGCTTTTGCACGTGTTTTCGTTTATATTCATTTATTGCTTACTGTTGATTGATCTTTAATAACGATGGGCCAAAATTCTAAAAAGAGTGTTCGTGTGAACACCAGTAATTTAGAAAATAGCACCAGCTCGTCTAATAACACATTACCACCCCTTATTATTAGTAGTTCACCCAACATAAAAGACTCGAACATAACTCTGACCCCTGTAATACAGGTGGAAGATGTTCTGTCTGAAAAGGTAGAGCTCTCTTACTTAACACGCATTATTAAAGAGATGCAGCTACAGATAGATGAATTAAAAACGAAATTAAGTTCATTAGAATGTATACCTGAAACTATCTCACTTATGAAAAAGGAGCTGCAGGATCCTACAATCCTAAAGCTTTTTAATACGACCTCTAGAATGACGCCTACTGACTCAGAAAATGCGAAGGAGTTAGAAAACGCCATTGACTTTCTATCCAGAGAAGTTGTTAAAAGGCTGGCTTCGAAACAAAACGCTATAGTGTATAATGTACCAGATAGCGAGCCCATAAAGTCGGTCCAGCACTCATTGCTGAAGGCTGCAAATCTCTTGAGTGCACCTTGTCAGTGCATTCGCCTAAGTAAAAAGGACCTAAAGCACCCATGTCCCATACTCTTTAGGTTCGACAGCTACATAATAGCTGAACGATTTAAGAAGGCCGAAGATCTTCTGGCTACTGCCGCTAAATTCAAGACTATTAAAGTAGTCTCGGATAAAACAACTAACCAAAGGCAAGCAACCAAGAACTCCTTCGATACAAAGTTGAACACACCGAGAAATACACCTGGTATCAGCGCTAAAGTGTTGACGGACACAGAAGCACAGCAAGTCACCTGTATAGTGTTGGGAAAAAAATCGGCAAGTAAAAGCGACTCGAAACTCAGTAAGAGCAGTGTCACTGGGTGCAATCTTAAAGTACATGAGAGCACATCTGGAAAACCTGCTGACATACATGAGGTTGATATTGACTCACAAACTATGGCTGACCACAAACCACTGGCAGACCACACCCAATCTGGATGCAAGCCCGAGAGTCCCGCAGTAGAAACTGCAAGAAAGACCACAAAGCCTAGAGTCCCACTTCAGACTTCGACATACCTCCCTCTCAATAAGTCTAATAAGCAACATGTCAGTCTAAAAAATGACAATGCATGGGTAAAAAACCATATTCCCAAAAACGTCATCCATCATGTGAGTAAGAATACCCCTTCCCGAACTAGGAGTAATATGCCTAGCACCGCACATAACTTGGGAATGCAACGTAGAATTGATCATCAGGATATATGGAGCACTAAACGGGACTCATATAGGCACCATATTAATGAATATTCTCGTCCAAACTCTCACACTATCTATGTTAAACCTCAGCAACATAATGAGTATAGATCGACACTTGACCCTCTCAATAACTTCACTCACACATGTGATGTGAGCCAATATGCATACGACTATGAAAGACCCATGAGGTACAACTACCAAGGTAATCTTAACACAGGGTACCTAGGTCAAGCAAACTATATATCACCAGTAAATGAACACAGATGCCCACCCATGGATGCTAAAAGTCAAAACATGCAACAGGATTATTTTCGGATGCAGCAAACAATAGCCCCACTCGCTGCACAATTCATCCAGGAAATAGTACACACACTGACTCTGTCTCACCTCAGAGCCCCTCCAAACATAACGTAGGGATAGTAACAAGTAACCACGTTAACCTCTCTTCCAATAACTCTGGTTTACTAACGATTATGCTCCTGAATGCTAGATCTCCTTAATAAAATAACATCGCTTCGCTGCCTGGCATACATAGAACGGTCAACACTAATAATGGTGACTGAAACCTGGCTTACTACTGATATACCTGACTCAAAGCTAGTAATAGACAACTACGACATCTATAGGAACGATAGAGTTGACAAAAGAGGGGGCGGCTGCTTAATATATGCCTCTAAATCCACTAACTCCAATACTTTCAATAACCCAACTACTGACAAACTCCCTGAATCTAAGTGGATAAGCATCCACACAAACGAAAGTAAAATTCTCGTGGGATGTATATACAGACCCCCTAATAGCTCTGAAATGACTGATATAACTATTGGAGAAATACTAGAGCATGTAGCTTCGCTGGACTTTGACTACAAAGTAGTCTGTGGCGATTTCAACTTACCTGGAGTAAACTGGGATACTTGTACAGGACCTAGAATCCATGACGAGCTACTACAAGACGTTACTTAGTTTACCGTAAACGATGTTTTAAGCAATATAATCTGCAAAAGGCTCACCACAGCAGCTATTATCCAGTTAAACATCCAGAGAAGTAATCATAATTCAGCAACTGGTGAATTTTTTATTCTTTTCGGCCTGGAACCTGAGTAATTGCGAATCAATCCATACAAAAATGTCGAAAGAGGCATGAAGGAGCAGAATTCTGCTATCGAATGAGTCATTGGGATCTGAAATGCAGCTATCAGCATATTTTCGTCATTTCATAGATATCCAGATTTATTGACGCTGTATAGGTAGTGATTTGGATTTGTCATCATGATCGACATATGGATGAATATTCAAATACGTACTACAACTTGTTTGACTTTCGGATTCAGTTA